CACTAAGCCTCCATTTCCTCACCTGTAAGATGGGACACCAGGTAGATTCTCACCTCACAAGGGAATTATGCCAGGGAAATGAGACGATGAATGAAAAGGGGACATGTGGACAAGATGGTTGGACAAGAGCTCAGAACAGTGTCTAACACGTGATCCCTTGTGGGGAGGGAGTGGGGCAGGGGCAGTACCACCAAATCAGCTGTTTCTCCAGGAGAAGAGGATTTGTGTGATTCATCTCCATCTTTTAAAAGTTTGCTTCCCATTTGTAGACATTTTAGCAGCCATTTCCTGAGAGGTGTGGGCTTTGGTCATGTTATGGGATATGAGCTACCTCTGGTGGGAACATACAAGGATAGCCACCAAGTAAGTGTTCCACACAGCCAGCCCCACCCAGCAGTTTTTAACTCAACAGAATGCTTCCTGAGTAAAACATCACACAAAGTATTGGGTGAAAAACTCAACCACTGATCCATATGCAAAGTATTTTTTCCAGTTTGCTCTGATATGTAATAAATATGATAAAACCAAAACCAAACTCATTGCCATTGAACCAAACTTATAGTGACCCTCATAGGGTTTCCAAGGCTGTAGATCTTTACAGAAGCAGAGTGCCTCATCATTCTTCTGCAGAGTAGCTAGTGGGTTTGAACTATCAACCTTTGTGTTAGTAGCAAAATGCCTTAACCAGCAGAGCTCCTTAATAAACATGATATATGATATTTTAAGAACCAAAAAATAACCCAAACAAAAACCCAAATCCATTGCCAGCAAGTTGATTCCAACTCATAGTGATGCTATATCACAGAGTGGAACTGCCCCATAGAATTTCCAAGGCATAATCTTTATGGAAGGAGCTCTGGTGGCACAGTGGCTAAAGCATTCAGCTGCTAACCAAAAGGTCATGGTTTAAACCCACCAGCTGCTCAGCAGGAGAAAGATGAGACAATCTACTTCTGTAAAGATTGACAGCCTTGGGAACCTTATGGGGCAATTCTACTCTGTCCTCTAGGGGTGCTGCGTGTTGGAATCCACTCAATGGCAGTGGCTTTGGTTTGGATTTTTCTTCAATAAAGAACAGTCTTCATGTGTAGGGTTGGCAGACAATGGTTCTACAAATGTATTTGTATGTTCTGTAAGAATTCCCAGGTGTATGGAAGCGCTGACAAGGGACAAGGTTGTAGTCACTTATTGGTCACAGCCAGCTACCCAGAGGGACTGAGTAGTTGAACCTCTGGGCTCAGGACCATAGTTGCAGGGGACATCAAGCTCAATTGGCATAACATACTACACAAAACATTTTCTACCTTCTACTTTGGCGAGTAGTGACTGGGATCTTAAAAGCTTGCAAGCAGCCATCTAGATGCAATGATGGATCTCTTCTTATCCAGAGCAAAGAAGAATGAAGAAAATCAAAGATTCATGGAAAGAATTAGTCCTAGTAACTGGTACACCATCTGATCCGCAGCCTATATGACAGACCAAAAGAACTAGATGGTGCCCGGCTACCACTGTCAACCACTCAGAACGGGTATCTATGTAGGAGATCCTGGATAGAGAGGGAGAACAATGTGTCACAAAACTCAGAATCATTTAGAAAAAAGAAAGGAGGACCAGGTTTGCTGGTCCGATAGAGCCTGGTGGAACTACTGAGACTATGGTCCGTAGCTGCCCTTCCGGTCTGGAATTGAACTCACACCTGTGGCTTCCAGCCAAACAAAATACAGGCATATGAGTTGAACATTTACCTGAAGTAGATACGCTCTTTGGAGAGAACAATCATGGGAGAAAGAAGGGCTGTGTATGCACAGGGAGACAGCTCAGGAGGCAGGAGTACATGGAGGGATGGACACAGGGAAGAGGTAACTATTGGGAGGAAGTGGGAGGGGAGCTGTTGCATTGTGGTAAATTGTAGTCAATGTCATGAGACAAAGTATATGTGAACTGCTATATGGAAAATGAATTTGCTTTGTAAACTTCCACCCAAATAACAATTCAAAAAAAAAAAAAAGAGTACAGTCTTGGAAACCCTTTGGGGCAGTTCCATTTTGTCCTAAAGAGTCACTATGATTTGTAATCAACTCAGTGGCAGTGAGCCTTTTCAATCTTCATGGAAATATACTGCCACGTCTTTCTCCCATGGAGTGGCTGGTGGCTTTGAACCACCAACCTTTTGGTTAGTAGCTGAGTGCTTAACTCCTGTGCCACCAGGGCTCCTTTAGTCACTTTAAGAGGTGCATAATTATGATTTGTTGGATGAATTGAACATCCAACAAATGGGACTGAGGGACTGACAGATGAAAATATAATGCATTGACCCTCTGGGACTTTGGAGGTAAAGACTATAGGCAAATCTTGTTGTCTTCATTGGGGCCTGTGAAATATTTTAGACATTACAGGCCATATGGTCTCTGTCATGACTACTCAACTCTGCTTTTGTAGTGCAAAAGCAGCCACAACTTGTAGCCAGTGTGAACAGGCACAGCCGTGTTCCAATAAAACTTTATTTAAAAAACAAGTGACAGACTGAAATTGGCCTATAATTTGTAATTGGTTAACCCCTGGTCTTCCTTATAATTTTCTCTAGCTTTTTTTTTTTTTTTTTCTTTAACACAGTTAGAATGCACCTTTACAATAAAAACAATGAGCTATTTTAATAAAAAGAGCAGTCAAATAACATGTCCTGCAATAAAATAGGCACACTCTTACATAGGTTTAGCATCTGAAATTGTAATTCTACAGGCGGTAGTTAGCTGCCATCAGGTCACCCCAACTGTCAGTGGCCCTGTGCACGACGGAGGAGCTGCTGCCTGGTCCTGTATCATCCACGTGGTCGGTCGGACCGTGGTGACCCACAGGGTTTTCACTGACTGATTTTTTTGAGTGGATCAGTAGGCCTTTCTGTCACTGTTAGCTATTTATTTATGAAAACCTACTCAGTTCTGAAAAGCAAAAACAAACAAACAAATAAACAACTTACTGCCGTCAGGTTGAATCCGACTCATAGCAACCCCTCCTTGGGTTTCCAAGGCAGTGTCTCTGTGGAAGCAGATTGCGCAGCCTTCCTTCCGAGGAGTGGCTGGTAGGTTTGAACTGCCAACCTTCTTGTTAGCAGTCAAATGCCTTAGGCACTACGCCACCACAGCTCCCCTGAAGAAAAATTTTAAAAAAAAAAAGACAATGTAAAAATCTGTTCCTATTTTAAATTTAGGTGTGACTCTGCATTAATTTGTCACCAAGTGTGTTCCCACCACCGTGCCAGGTGTGGGGAGGTGCAAGGAAAGTCTTGTTTCATTTAGTTGTCTTTTAAAAAAAGTATGGTGTTCCTTGAAAGTAGAAGCTTCTGTAAAGCAGTAGCTACCATGTCACAGATACTCCATCTTGGAGAGAGACCTTTGTAACTCACCCAAGGAGTTCCACCCTGGCTCTTTGCACTTAGGAGGTTGCAGTGTGGGGTTTGCAGCCCAGGCCGGATGCCCACCCTGCTCCACTTTCTGGTGCTGCTGACGTTAGTCTTACTTTAACCAGGTTCTCTTTGAAACTGGAGTCTTTGGGTCGTGCACATGGTTAAGTGCTCTTGACTGCTGACCTAAAGGTGGTGTTTCAAGTTCACGCAGAGGTCCCTGGGAAGAAAGACCTGGATATTTCCGGGTGTGAGAGTTAACTTGAAAGTAGTGGGAAAAAGAAAACGTACTGAAGCCTGTAAATACTGCAGCAATGATTGTGAGTTTCTCAGAGAAGGGGAACCTTTAATTCTTTAGGCGAGCATTTTGCCTGGTGCCTGTTCGGCGATGTTTTGTTCCTTTTAACTCCATTTCGGTAATCTTGAGTGAAAACTGGAATATATGATTGGTGAATGTTTAAGACAAGAAGATCTGATGAAGAGCACAGCATTTTCTCATTTCCTGCCGGATTCTGCTTTTCCTCTCTGAACATGAGGTGATAGATTTTCAAAAGATACCAAATCAAAGCACGGAATCAGAGAAGGCGAGAGGCGGGCGACAAGCTGTGGTAAACCAACCTGTCAGTCCTCAGGGCCCATCCTAGGCAGCTCTTTAAGATGCAAGGGTCTTTGAAAATTTCTTTTTTAATGAACCCTGTTGGACTTGAAACAGTTAAAATAAATAAATAAAGTCATCTCTATCAGGGAGGAGGAGCAGAGGGTGGGCTAGAGTGGCCCCCCAGAACTTGAAGGAAAGGTGAGGTTTTGCATCTGAAGGGACCACCCAGAAGTTGCATTTGCTTCATTTTAATCATGGCTGTGGAAGGCTGGTTTGGCAGGAAGTCGTGAAATTGGCTTTTGACTCCCTTGGCTGCTAGGCGTCAGTCTCCCTGTTGAGGGGATTTTGATGTATACCAATCTGTCAGAACAACAGCTCTGTGCACAGAGCAAAACATTGCCTCATGGGTGTCAGCATATGTGGTGTGGGGGTGGTGGTGGGTGGGATTCAGGGTGGGCGCCAGCACACTTGTGGGCAGATCCTTCCTTCTTGGAAGCCATTTCCTTGCTCTGCCCTTGTGCCTCTGTGAGGACCTCAGATGGCCTCCCAGCCGGCCCCACTCTCCCCTCATGTCCCCTGGGCCTGTGATTCTCTCTGAATTCCAAGCACTATCAAGGGTGTAAAATGAACTTGCCTCTGCAAGTATTTATGGGTCTCTGTAAGAAAAAGGCAAATGGATCCACGTTTTCTTAAAACCCATTGTGGAACCGTCGTGCCTGAACGCTTTGCCAAGATTTAGCCTCAAAGCTTCAGCATTAATTTGGGCTTTGTGCTTTCTGAGAGCCATTCTTTATTCCCTCCTGCACCGAAGACTAATATTTATCTTCCTTTACTGTTAACCTCAGAGTGTCTTCAATTTTGCTACTTGCTGGAGAATGTATTCTCAGAGGATTTTCATAGTCTGTTTGATTCTTGAATATAACTTACTGTCATCACTTGGCTCGCATGGGACCCAGCACCCCCTGCGTCTCTAACCAGTGTCTTCTCTCTGTGTGATTTCAGGTTTGGAAAGAAATCGCGGCCCGCGATGTACGAGGTGACCCCCATCGCCTATGAGGATTACAGCCCCGACGACAAGCCCTTGGTCACACTGATTAAAACAAAAGATTTGTAATCTTTTCTGGGAATTATTTTTCAAAAAGATGGGATACTTCACTCATTCAGATATTTTTAAGAAAATAAAAAGCTTAAGAAATTTAAAACGTTAGCTGCTCAAGACTTTTCAGTAGAATATTGAAGAACTAATTTTCTGCAGCTTTTAGTTTGGGAAAAAAATATTTTAAAAACGGAATTTGTGAACTCCGTAGACGTTTTAATGTCCTTTCAGCTCTCTAAGCGTATGCTTCTAATAGTGTGTGCTCTTTCCACATGGGACAACATCCCCAAACCCAGATTCATTTCTGTGGTTGCTACAGAGTTAAGTCTAGTCCAGGAAAAGTTTCTATTTGACACGTGAGTGCTGGCTTTTTGAGTAGAGTTAGGAAAAACGCATAGAGTAAGATGCATTCTCCAGTGTACCTGTTACTTAAAAAGAAGTCTGAAATGTTCGTTTTGTGAAAAAAAAAAAAAAAAGAAGCTAGTTAAATGTATTCCTTCTAGCCTGAATGAAGTTAGCCTTTGCCTTATTCTGTGCATGGGTAAGTAATTTATTTCTGCACTGTTTTGTTGAACCTTGCGGGAACATCGTTCTGAGTTTGTTTTCTGTCGTTTTTGTAACAGTCGTCAAACTAGGCCTGGAAAACACACACCGTGAAAGGGCCTAGTGAGGCAAATTATGATGGAGTTGAACCTGTACTTTTCTTTCAGAAGTCAAGGTTTTCGTACTGTGAGTAAATTAACTCTGCATTTGAGCTGTTCGTTGCTAAGAGGTAGTAACCGTAAGTGAGGACTGGTACCCTCAGTAGTATGTGCTTCTCATGGTGCAGCTGTATTTATCTCCAGGACATGTCTGTGGCTGTATCGGATTGGTATGTGCTTCTTCCGATTCTTGCTAATTTCAAAGAATATCGAATAAATGTTATCAAGTCAAGGACATGCTTGTCTCCCTCATTCTTTTCAAACAACATAGAATGTTTTGGATTTGATATCATCAAATAAAGAATTCCCCTGTTTTATTACATTTTCACTACTCCGAGGAGTACCTCTCTTGATTGCTAGGGGGCACGAGCCATTTGCATGTGGCTGCTCATACAAAGGTTGGCCATTTGAGCCCAGCCAGCAGCTCTGTGGAAGAAAGGCCTGGCAAACTTTTTCCGTAAAGCATCCAGCCCAGGAAACCCTGGGGAGCAGTTGTACTCTCCAGCACATGGGGTTGTTAGGAGTTGGGGGCTGACTAGAGGGTGGCTAATGACAACAACGGCACATTTTTTGTGGCCGCCGGGGCCGTTCCCCATGCTTCTGAGAGCTGTCTTGACTTCCTCATCTCCTCGAAAGAAGCCAGTGAACCAGTCCCAACTGCTTGTGGACTGAAAAACTAGTTGCCACCCAGTCGCGCCCAACTCCTGGTGCCCTCCGTGTGTCACAGTAACTCCTCAGGGCTCTCAGTGGCTGAGTTTTCAGAAGGAGATCACCAGGCCTTTCTTCCGAGGTGTCTCTGGGTTTACTTGAGCTTCCAAGCCGTCGGTGAGCAGCCCAGTGTGTTAACTGTTTGCACCGACCAGGGACTGTAAACATGAAAGTTTGGGAAAACAATCAAAGAAACAGGAATCCTCGTTTTTAAATTTGCATTTTGCAATTTGCCAGCTAACTGCAGCACGTGTGAATGTAGAGGTGCCTTGAGATGCAGAGTCACGGGTACGATGCAGCCTCAATAAACTTGATTGTTCGTGCAGTTCGGTGAGGAGCAGTGACCTCAGCCAGCAGCTCCTTGGGCCTCAGGGATTTGAAGGCAGTTTAGAGCCACCCTGTATTCAATCCCATTTTTATATCCAAATGTGGCAGGAAAATCCTAGAGTTGTTTGCAAAAACGCTTTTGATCCTCACATGGGGATGTTTGGTCGGACCAAGAGAAGCCCTGGGACCAGGTGCGAGGGAGGGTTTGGAGTAAAGAACATTATTTAAGAAGCATTTCCTTCTCTCTCCCTCCACGCATCGGTCCCCAATCCTACAGATGACATAGCAAGACACCCACATCCTGATTATTCAATGATGCAGTGCAATAGGTTAACCTTTTTAGTTTGCTGAAATGTTTGGAAGGGAGATAAGAACAAATACTGAAATACTGTGGACTGCCAAAAGAATGAATAAATCTGTCCTGGAGGAAGTACAGCCAGACTGCTCTTTAGGAGCGAGGAATGGCCAGACTTTATCTCTCGTATCTCGGTCATGTTGTCAGAATGGACCAGTCCCTGGCGAAAGAGACCATGCATGCTTGGTAAAGTAGATGGTCACTGAGAAAGGGGAGGACCCTCAATGAGATGGATTGACACAGTGCCTGGGACATGGGCTCAAGCACAGCAAGGATTGTAAGGCTGGCGCAGGACCAGGCGGTGTTTCATTCTGTTGTGCGCAGGGCCGCTGTGAGTTGGAGTTAGCTTGAAGACGCCTAACAACAACAGCATCGTTACCATGCAAGTTGAGCATCCGTGGAGCCACACCCACCAGAGAGGACCACCCAGACCTTATTTACCATCTCTCTTCCTGTAGAAGACTCTTCTTGGTGAACACAGGATGTACAGACACTTCCCTCAACAGGAGATGGCCTAGAATGTCGGTGCGAATTCATCTCCATTTTCTGCTGCCCCCCCCACACACCTGTCCCCCCCACATCTGGGCATCCATCTCCTCCACGTCCTTTGCTTATTGATCTTTGGAAGATATCACTCTCACCCCCTCTCAAATAATGTGTTGTTTCCTCATTCCTTCCTTTAAAATCAGTTTTATTTTAAAACTTTTTAGAACTGGGGTAAGTAGATACGTAACAAGACACTTACCATCTCAGCCCTCCTCACATGTACAACTCAGTGGCGTTGATCATGCCCATGATGTTGTTTAATCATCGCCACTCTCCATTTCCACATTTTTCCATCACCCTGAGCAGAAACTCAGTGTCCTGTCCTTTAAGCCATGAGTGTCCCCATCCTTCCTTCCCAGCCACCCTGGTAACCAACCACTGATAAACATTGGTTTGAATAAACTTACCTAGTCTAGATGTTTTGTGTCAATGGGAATATACAATATTTATCATTTTCTGACTGACTCATTTCACTCAGCTGATGTCTTCAAGGCTCATACCCATCATGGTATGCATCAGGCCTTCGTTTCTCTCCATCTCTCTCTCTATTTATTTATTTATTGTGATTTGGGTGAAGATTTACAGAGCAAATTCGCTTTCCATACAGCAGCTTACATATACTTTGTCTCATGTCATTGATCACAGTTTACCACAATGCAACAGCTCCCCTCCCACTTCCTCCCCATAGTTACCTCTTCCCAGTGTCCATCCCT